TTGGGGTTCTAGAACTTCGTGGATATAACGCTGCGCGTTCATGTTACCTCTGATGAAGATTAAAGGTGACCTGGAACCATAAGCTATAGCACCCCAAACCATAACTCCAACAGTGTGATGAACATGTCTTTCAACAAAAAACTGTGGATTCCTCCTTTCACCACCTTCTAACCCTGGCACGACCATCGTGCATGCCTAAACAAAATCGAGACTCGTCACTAAAGAAAACACTGTTCCATTCCTGATCCCAGAGTGACCGTTGTCTGCACCACTCAAGGCGATTACGTCGGTGTTCTCGAGTTAAAGGGAGGACCCAGTGTGGCCGGTATGAAAACAAGCCAAAACTTCTCATTCGTCGGTAAACACTTCGCATGCCAATAGGTCTTCCGTGTTCTGCAAACAATTCATTTGCAATGGACCTGGTAGTGGAGAAACGGTCCCTTAAGGCCAATAATCTTAGGCGGCGATCTTCACGGTCTGTTGTTCTACGGCGGCGTCCAGTGCCCCTTGCTCTTTGCGTACGGCCTTCTCGAAGCCATGCCTGACAACACCTAACCACAGTGTCTACACTTCTTTGCACTCTAACTGCAATTGCCCGAAAAGAAAGTCCACCTTCCCGAAGTCCCACTATACGGCCCCTATCAAACTCACTAAGTTGACGAAATCGTACAGGTCTCCGTACTCTAGGCATCGTAACCGATAGTAAAGGATATCAAGAACCAAAATCTGCCAACGTTGATTCTTTACTGTGGCTGAAGTATTCATTTTTAGAGCGTTAGTGAATTAAAAAAAAACAGTATAAAAACCGGAATGTCCAACTTAGTTCTGTGTTATTTGTATTACATTTTTCGATTAGCTGTTTTATTGTAAATATATGTTCCTGTACGCTATGTCCTTTTCTGAACCCACTCTGCGCCTCGTCTAGATCGTTTTCGATGTGTTCTCTCAGCCTTTTCTCCAACACTCTCTCATAAACTTTCAAAGGTATACTTAGCAGCGTGATTCCTCTATAGTTGTAACACACAATGCACCTCAAATAATGGAAAAGCTATCTGAGACCATTGAGGGAGAGTGGGAAAACGAATACCGATAATTTATTAATAACCTTCTGGAAAGTATGCCACGAAGATGCCCGGCTGTGATCGATGGGGTGGGCCTACTAGGTACTAACAATATTGTAATAACTGTTGCTGTTTTGTAAAAAGTTCGGTTTTGTCATAAATAAATAATTTAGGTATTAAACTGGTCTTCAAAACTTTGTTTTCTAAAATGTTACATATTGTTAATGTCTATCAATAAATTCTTTGACGTTGTTTACAAATTCAATAGTGTCTATTATCTACTGGAAAACATCGCCAATGCTGAATGAGAAAGATAAAAAATTCTAGATAAAAGATTAATAGCAGTGTTTGCCAGCATCATATCATTTTGAAAAATAAAAATGTTCAAGTTATTAGCACTTCTTACCAAACCAAAAAATGCCTTTTGTGTTACTCCACTGGAATACACCCCTTTATCAAGAGTAGTAACTTAGATTTGTTCATTAAGCTGTTTAATTACATAGTTACCACTCTCGGAATGTCCGGGAGGAGGGTGGGCTCGAGGGAACAACATCGAATATAATATTTGTTTTACACAAACATCTGCGGGATTAACCAACATTAATGCTGTTCATCACTACCTGCAATCCAATCGTCCCGCCATGCTTTTCTTGGCGGAGAAAAAAATGTCAGAGTCTGCACCGATTAACCATCTCAACTTCCCAAACTACGAGGTGCACTCCAATCTGAGAAAGAACGGGGGAGTTGTGGCTTTTGTCCGCAGTAGTCTTTCCTGCTCCAGAGATGGTTCTTTGGAATCAAACCGGAAGGACATTCTGTGGCTTCGCCTCAACTCCAAATCATCACCCAAATTTATTTGGTGCATTTATCGCTCTCCCTCGGACCATAACTGGGATGACCTACTGGAATAACTCGCCGTCAAGATCGACGTCCTGAACATCAATGACCCCGCATCAGATGTAGTTCTTCTCCGAGATTTCAATGCCCATAATGAGCTTTGGTTGGGCTCAAACAAGACCGATGCAGCAGGTCATGCAGTCAAAGCGTTCGCTCTTACTCAAGGGCTGACCCAGCTGGTGACGAGCCCTACTGTTTTTCCCCGCGTCTCGTCACACGCCAGTAGTCTGCTGGATCACTTTCTGACCACGCATCCTGTCCCTTACAGCACTGCTGTCCTGTCCCCCCTGGGTAACTCAGACCACGGTGTTGTGGACGTTAGGTTTCGGTCAGAATCCGCTGTGAGAGCAAAATACAGGCCGCAAAACTTGGCATTACGGATATGCCGACTGGGAGGGGCTGAGCGACTTCTTCTCTATCTTTCGGCTGTCTGTTCTTCGTTAACCGGAATTATCCACGTCGGAATGGAGGACTACATCCCTCACACAGTGAAAGTGCCTAAACCAGGGACCAACGGCTGGTTTAACAAATCGTGAGACACTGCTCGCCAGCAGAAGATCAAGGCACACAGAACCTTTTTACAAAACCCCACTGTAGAGAACAGACAAGCCGACGTCGAGTCCAGAAACAAATATAACGAGACGGTTCGCAATGCCAAACACCAGCACGATATAAAAGCTAGCCACATGGCAATGTCGCATGCGTAATGGCAGTCGGTCTTTCTGGACGCTGGCCAAGCAGATTGAAAAGAACTTCTCACACAGTAGCCTCCCACCACTTACGTGTCATGGAACGATTGTATTCGACTCAAAGGCCAAGGCGGAAGTGCTAGCCAAGATCTTTGCTGCCAACTCCACCATGGACGTCGCCCCCAACGCCCAAGTGCCGTCAATTCAAAGGGTTCCCTACACTATGTGGGAGGTAATACTCAGGCATAAGACCGTAAGACGAGTGCTCTTGTCGCTCGACATCAACAAAGCTTCTGGTCCGGACTTGATTCCTGCCATTGAACTCAAGAGGTGTGCAGCGGAGCTTGCTCCAGTTCTTTCGCGTCTCTTCCAGATATCTTATGAATCCGACACCTTCCCAGAAAACTGGACATTTGCTCATGTCCAACCCATCCCAAAAAAGGGATCCAAGACCGACCCTTACAACTACAGGCCTATAGCTCTGCTTTCTGTTATAAGTAAGGTGATGGAGAGGTGCATAAATCGCGAGCTTTTGGACTACCTCGAACCTCACGGCTTGATTAGCGACACGAAGTATGGTTTCCGGCACCAACGATCCACAGGGGACCTCCTAGCTTACGTCACGCAATTGTGGAGTAAACTCATCCAGTCTTATGGTGAGACCAATGTCCTTGCTCTTGACATCACGAAAACGTTCGATCAGCTGTGGCACGCTGCTTAAGCAAACTTCCATCCTATGGCCTCCCAGAAAAGTTTTGCCGATGGGTGGCTGACTTTATCTCTGGCCGCAAGATATCCGTCGTAATTGACGGGTTCTCCTCTTCATCCCACAACGTCAACGGGGGTGATCCCCAGGGATCGGTCTTGGCTCCGACACTGTTCCTCTTACATATCGACGACCTCCTTTCCTGCATGATCAACCCACACCACAGTTTCGCTGATGACAGCACTCTACATGCAGGATTCAGAGTTACAGCCGATCGCTGAGCTGGAAAATAGAAGACTAGCGACGACTTCCTCACTAATGAGAGACCTGGAGGTTATCACGGCTTGGGGACGCAACAGTCTTGTACAGTTTGATGCTTCCAAAACACAGGACTGTACTTTGACGAACAAAAAGCGTCCTAGCGCTCATCCGGTTTCGATGGATGGCCGAGTTCTGCTCATGACCTTCTCACTCTATACAAGGCCCAGATAAGGCTTAGCCTCGAGTATTGCTCACATGTTTGGGTTGCTGCTGCCCCGACTACATTATCCATGCTCGATGCTGTCCAGAGGAGGGCGGTCCGACTGATCGATGACTCTTCTCTAACAGACAGTCTCGCAACTATTTTCGCACCGCTACACCAACGGGCTTTGATCCTCGGAGCTCTCTTCTATGATGCCGCCGCCCGATGTGCCTGGCAGACAGACCCGCCTGACTTTGGCATCCCATCCTAACCGTGTCGAGCTTCGTACATCCAAAACTGGGCGATACGACCGCTCCTTTGTCCCGAGAGCGTCGAGACTGTGGAACAATCTACAAGAGGAAGCTTTTTCCAGTTATACTAATCTTAGGCAGTTCAAAATCGTATTAACAAAATTTCTTTGGGATCATCATAGCAGTAGCGGTGTTTCGGTATTTAGGCTTCTGCCTGCGCGGCTGCTTCGATATAAAAAAAGTAAAATTTATAAATTCGGTTTAAATTACATAATGTCAAAGTATCAAATTTTCACTGCGCGCCATTGGAGGCAATAACGTTCAATGAGTGCTTCAATCTTTTCTCGGTGCAAGAAATTCCACTTTATGCAACAGTATGAGAAAAAATACCCATTCTCAAGAGAAACCCTTTTATAGGGATAAATGTAACACTTTTAAAGTTCGATAATTGTTACACCCAACTTTCGAAAATTTTGAGAAATTACTTTTTTAGGATAGTCATGAGATCAAGGGATGCTAAAAAAAGATCAAAAATTGAGAATTTGAGATAGACCCAAGCTTTGCTAAAAAAAACCTGACTTCCTTTGCTCACCCTGTATAAGTGGATAAATAAGAGAAATATGCCGATCGGCCCTGTACGTGTTTTCAAAGAGTTGGTCAAGAACCTCCTGAATACCGCAACTCGATATCTCTTTCCGTTCCGAAAATATCGAGTTTTGAATTTGGGTAAAATTTTTCATGTTGCGAAGCAACTGTCCACCAGTTTAGTTAGCAAACCCCAGATTCAAACTCAGCAAAAACATGTAAAATGAGAGATATAACCAATAAGCCAAAATTTTATTGGTAAAATTACAAATTCGATGGATTACGATGAAATGGACGTTACCACGGACATGCTTCACATTTTCATAGTTCTAATGATATGTTACATACCAACGACTGCTTTTTCCAGGCTTCGATGTTCTTTCTCTGAGCCTTGGTAAAATGGTCCCAGACCTTCTTGTGACAGGCAGCCACGAACAATCGCTCAATTTGACTGACTAGCGAGGCACACAGGCAAATTGGTCAGGTTAAACACCAACGGCTTATAACTATATGCTACATCATATCTAGTGTGGTGCCGCCATCTAGCGGCACAGTTATACGATACGATGTAAAATCGCCAAGTGAGTATATTTGAAATGAATGAAAGAATCTGATATGCGCAGTTTGTTCAAGGGTCTGATGCCATGGAATATACGAAAGTGAAATCTCCTATTTAAAAAAAATACATTCCAACAGTTGATAGATCATTACGAAGCGTATTCATTGGTCTATTCTGATTGTCATGTATCAATTATTCGAAATGAACGGTTTTTGTACTTTTAAGGTGACCCTACTTTTGGGATTACCCTTGTAAACATGGATGGAGTAACATTTTGCTGACGGCTTCTAAACATGAAGGATTTCAATATTGAAGTGGACTTCAAAGATACAGGTATGTCTGAGGTGCATAATGCAAAAATTTTGATGCAAAAAATATTAAGATTATTGGAAACATCCATGGTAGGATTGAAGAAATCAGACTGCAAGGAAAACTTAATAGTATCTATAATCGGATGAGCTCTAACAGACAGTACGTGTATATCAAGATGTTAAGCTAAAAAAAGCGCTTACAAGTGTGACAGCATTCCTTTTTTGGACCTGTATCCAAGTTTTTAGAAAATCGGAATACATTATGATTATAAATAAAGATTAGAAACAGACAAATAGCATGCAGCTGGTCGATAACTTCTAAACATCACCGTATAATCCTACGCAATTTCTACTGTATAGTAATTAGTCCTCACATGATTGTGTCCTTGGAAAATAGCAGTCAGTTCGCCATGGCGGACTAGCCATTGGCTCGAAGGCTATATTTTTAGAAAGCCTGATTCTTTTTTAATATGATTCTGTCTGATTTCGATAAAATGAACCGTGTTTGAGAAAGTATGATTCTTTTTCTAACAAATTCTTGTTTGATTTCGATGAAATAAACCTTATTACCGAGTGAGTCAGAAGGATTATTACGTTTTACACGCGTGAGTGTGTGTGTTTGTGGACAAAAATTCTATTTCACGGGCTACAGTCCATAGGGCTTGATGAATTTTTTCTATAGCCGTAAAATACAGGTTGATCCAAAAATAAGATATTGCCTTATACTTCACATTTTTAAATGGAAACCCTATTTTTTTAATTTTTAGATTCTCCATGAAGTTTTGTATAATAATGGTTATACCTATCTTCAATAGTTGAGAAGCTATTTGAGCTTATAATAAAATTCTAGAAATTGTGATATTAAGGAATTATATCGTAGAAGTAATAATCAATATAGTTCCCATGGTGACAAGACTTTAAAATTAAAAACAATTCTCCCACTATTAAAAAAAACAAAAAACAACTTACATTACGCGCACATTAAAGTTAAACTAAAAAATAATTTGCTATAAAGAGGGAGGTCAATGTGGTAATAAGTGCTGAAAGTAGTGTCCATTTATCTACATGCAATAAGATAAAGATTTTGTTCGAATCGTTTCATCACCCTCGCCCGTCAAGTTTCCAGGAATAAAGAAATGTTTCAAATTGAAATTTGTTGTCTTTCAAAATTCTTTGTACTGTTGAGCGTGTAAACCCTGAAGAAGTAGCCAGTCCACGAGTGCTTTGGGTGTTGCCAAGTGCTACGTGTCCCAAAACTGCTATTTCTGCGGCTTCATTTCTAACTAGTCGATTACGGAGAATATTATCACAGATCCAGTTTCTTCAAATTTTTTTATCAACTTAGCCACATACTTATCGTTAATATTTTTGTCTGGATGTAACGCATTAAACAACCGGGCAGTAGCTCTTGCAATGCTCCCATTTTGGTAATACGGTTTTGTTATTCCTTTTTGAATAAGTCATTGTTCAATATTTATCACAACTAGTATTTTTTATTCCAATTACCACGAAGGCCTAAGGCCTCAACACCCATGGGGTACCGTGGGGCTATGGGGGGATACAGGGGAAAGGGGGGACGCCACACGGATTCTGGCGAGAGAACACGTGTGTATGCAACATGCACACATTCTGGCCCCGCCTATGAGATCCGCTGCGTGGAACCTCCGCGTTCGACAGTCAGAGACCGTCGACCACCTACGAAAGGTAGGTAACTTAGCAATTTGAAATGAAAGACGAAGTTTTTCTATGCCATACGATGACACTGGCTGATGCTAAATGTTCTTACTGGTATACGTGATCATTATTTTTTACCGTGCAGTTAGTCACAACGATTCAAGATAGGTATAAACTTTATCATACAAAAGTTACCAAAAACTTCATGGAAAAAATGGGGGTGTCGATTTGAAAATTTTAAGTGTAACGCAATATTTTATTTTTTGATCAGCCTGTATTATACGGCCCTAGAAATCAAAATTGACGTGTCCGAGCGTTATATCAGGAGTCACAAATGGGGGTGCGACCTTTTCGTTGGGCCACACTGTATAAGGTGTTGTTGGATTCATCGTAGCAGTACGAGTGACACGATATATTACAATTTTATAAAATCAATTAACGGACTTTGATCGAAGGATTCTCCTTTGAAATCTCTATTTGATGGCCTACAGCTCAAATGGCTGGATGGATGTCTTGAAATGCGAGTAACTCTAGGTATATTAAAATTTTATACAATCAAAATAGCAGATTTTTAACGTAAGTTTCAACTTTAAAATTTCCATGTCAATGCTCAAATACACTAAAATTTTCACGGGCTACAGCTTAAGCTGCTTGATGAATCTGGACATTCGACGTGTCTCTGGATTTGTCTTAATAATGTGAATGGTAGAGTATACACTAGGGTTGTTTAAAAAATAAGGTTCCTATATTTGTTCAGGAGCAAGAAATTTTTTATTTGAAAAAACGAATTCATCGTTGGAAACGCTGATCTTTAAGCTATTTTTCTACATAGTCGCCATTTTCTAGACTAGAATTCGGTATCGAATTAACGATTCTATTGAAGGTTTATATATCATTAACAACACATTTGTTGGTAGCACATCACACAGACAATTTATGAATTAATTTACGTAACAAATGCGTTGGCCAAGTCTAAAAATACAGATATGCTTTTCTTTCCATGAATATCATCATGTAAGGATATAATGCAGATACCGTGTTGTCAAAATTTCGTTGAATTTTAGGTTGTTCAACAGTTATTTAAGGGCCGATTTCCAATGGCGTCTTTCAGCGGCCTGTATCTCCGAAACGAAGCGGTATTTCGAAAATCACCAAAAAATAAGATGGTCTTAGAACCGCCCATTGAATTTTTGCTTTGAAGATAAATGAGACACGCTAATTGATTTTAGAATAGCTGGATTGCATTACATTAAGGATAGTGAGGTGTCAGAACGGGATGGCAGTGAGCCCTTTTACAACACCGATGTTTTAGCTAATTTACGCACAGTACACTCGTTTTAGGCGCGTTATTATATTGTCTGTGTTGAAAAATCACATTCTAGATGAATTATACACAAGGTCAGTGTTTAGTGTCTAACCGACCGCTAGTGCAGTTATCATAAATAATGATATCTAAAAAAGTTATTAAAAAAACTAAAGGCTACTTAGTAATGCCACTCTTTGCAGGATGATTCAGAACCACTTAGCAACACAAACATGCATTTTTTTAAATGGATAATACGAATATTTTGTTATCATCTGAAAAGAATATAAATATAGGGTTTGGACTGCCACTTCTGGAGTTACAGGATATTTTGTCTAAAAAGTGGCGTCAAGTAGGCTGAGTTTGTGCTTCCCATGCAGCATACAAAGGTTGTTTCAAAAAATGAGATGCTTGACGAAATCTGGCAACACCGTCGTGTTTGTTGGCTCCCCCACCACCGATCGTTACCACCAATAGAAATTCATCGCCCGTTGGGTGAAGTATGTGGGAAACGTGAATAAGCATTCAACTTGTCCTCAGATGGTGAAGAGAGTTCTTTGACGGCCACATGGACAACGAAGCGGGAGATCGTCTATCTCCGAGGAACTTATGGCAAAGATTGAGCAAATTTTGCTCGAAGATCGGCGAATCAGCATCCGGGAACAGGCGGATGAAATTCCTGAGGCTTTTGAAAAAGGTGAGATGGACAATCCAAAATCATCGTAAAGGAAAACTCTGCAAAGCGTCCTCATGTCTCACAACAAACGAAAGACTGAATCGGGCGAATTGGCTGGGAAGTCATTGCCCATCCCCCTTACAGCCCTGACATCGTGTTTCCGACTATGTACAAAAATAGCTTAAAAATCAACATTTCCAATGGGAAATTCGTTTTTCAAACATAAAAACCTTGTGCCCGAACAACATGTGGGTTACCTTATTTTTGAGACAGGGAAGCGAACCTAGCCGTGGATATTGGCATAATTGGAACTTATCGGCGTTCTAGTTTGTTATGATGACTTTATCGTATCATTAACATTACAACATAACATTAAAAGTATCATGCAAATGACGGAGTCTTGAAATTAGCTACTCTACTCAACCAATATTTCAAAATAAAAAAGTATAAATCAAGCTTATATAGTATTATAAACTATAAACATGTCTGTTACTGTATATGACAGATTCATTGTAGAAATGGCTCCAAATAGAAATTCTGACGCTCAAATAAAAAATTGAGATTGTTGAAGTTCACAATAAGGAGAAGTTAATTGTAAGAAACTTATCCAAGCGTTTTAATATTGGTAAAACATAAGCTGCAGATATAATTAAACAAAAGAAATTCTTCTAAATAAGTGGATGTCGAACAGCAATTTGAATGAAAAAGGAAGCTTTTTGATGGGTGATGGTACCAAAATTGACAAATTGTGTTATGACTAGTTTGTAACAGCTCATCATAAGGGGATTCCCTTCTAAAATAGATAAAAAGGGACATTCTACATTCAGTGCTTCTTCTGGTTGGTTCAATAAATTTAGAATTCGCCACAATATGAGTTTTAAAGCGATTTCGGGAGAACAAGCTTTGGTTAATCATGACGTTACATCGCTTTTGGAAATTTTTAAGGGGCACTCACCGAGAGACATCCATAATGCCGATGAGACCGGCCTGTATTTTAGGGCTCTACCAGACAAAACGCTCACATTAAAGAAGGAAAAATGTGTTGAGTAAGTATTTCAAAGCGAGGTTTACAATCTTGTACTGTGTAAGAATGGCGGGTGAAAAAGGAAAACTCCTAGTCATTGGTAAGGCAGCTAAGCCTATAGCTTTTAAAAATTAACATAAATGACCTGTAACTTGGAAATGCAATAATAGTGGTTGCAAGACCTGGATTAGAAAACAGCTAGAGAAAAAGAGACAATTTGTTATTTTTAGACAATGCGGGAAAAGAGATTCGCTTAAATAATATGAATGCATACTTTTGCCCCCTAAGAGTTTTACATCTTGTTACCGTAGTCTAATAAATACCTGCTAATAAACATTGAAACTGCTGGTACAGCTTTCAAGTTAATAAAGAAAATTTCGTCATTAGATGCAGTTTATTTGGCAAAAACTGCTTGGGACCAAGTGACCAAAGAAACAGTGCAAAATTGCTACCGCAAAGCAAAATTTAAGCATGAAAATATGCAAAGTGAAGACCAGATAAGTGAGGATGATACACCTGACCCAGAAGATGACTTACCACTTAATGTACTGTCAAATATCATCAAAAATAAGGATTCATTGAAATTGACTGATAATGAAAACCTTTATGATTTTTTGAACCGCACATCTGGGCTGTAGGGCGGCTGCGGAAGCGTTGGGATGCCGCCCTTGGTCAGGTAGCTGTTCACAAGAAAGGCGGTGTGAGCCGGGGCGTTGTCGTGGTGCAACTTCCAGTCGACTGCGATGTCTTGTCGGACCCGACTGACCCTTCGTTTGAGTCTCCTGAGCACTTCCACGTAAAACTTGGCGTTGACGGTTTGTCCAGGAGGAACAAATTCATGGTGGACGATGCGTTTGATGTCAAAAACGACAATGAGCATCGTTTTCACTTTGGATTTGCTCATTCTTCCCTTTTTTGGGCGAGGAGACGCCGTCGGGTGCCACTCGGAAGATTGCCTCTTTGTCTCGGGATCATACTCAAAGATCCACGACTCGTCACCTGTGATTACGTTATTCAAAAATTGGGGGTCACTTTCACACATGTTCAAATTTTCTTGGCACACTTCCACTCGCCGCAATTTCTGGTCGTCAGTGAGCACTTTTGGGACCATCTTCGCGCACACCTTGCGCATGTTCAAATGCTGTGTCACAAAGTGATGAACCACAGATTTTGGTAAATTTAACATCTGGGCAATTAAACGAATACTTAGTCGACGGTCTGAGTTCAAAACTTTGCGCACACGAGTCACATTATTGGTGTTTGTCGAAGTCGAAGGTCTTCCAGCACGGTCTTCATCAGCGACCTCTTCACGGCACTCCAAAAAGGCCTGGTGCCACCGAAACACACCACTTCTTGCTAAAGCAACACCTGGGTAAGCCTGCTTGATCATATCAAACGTCTCTGTCGCATATTTACCGAGTTTCACACAGAATTTAATCGCGTACCTCTGCTCTAACGAACGCTGCATTTTCGGCTTGCACCGCTCACAGAAACACGTCGCGCGAAAATGCCTGTCCTGACTCTCCAAGTGCTCGGAGACAACTGACCAGTCGCTCATTCGTTAGCTAGGAACGCCCTCTACCGAATCAAGTCGGTGCGCGCACGCTCCGAAGTATAGTCATGGCGGAATAAAATGAGTCCTATTACTTTCCCTGTATATGTATGTACTGTGTATATATCTGGAGGTAAACCTTAAGTTTGAAGTTTTTTGTTTATTTTAAAAACATGCATACTCATATACGTTTCACATGTCCCAGTTTCTTTAATATATTTAGTTGTCATTAATATGCGATTTTTGTTGTATTTCTTTTATACGGACACCCCTTTTCAACGGACACTTTCAGTCGGTCCCGTTGGCGTCCGTCCATAGATTTCACCACTATATACTAAAATATATAAGATGTCCCGTTTAAAAAATGCATGTTTGTGTTACCACTTAGTTATTACTCAACCTGTTGAGAGCAGCATATTTTCCAAGTCAGGAGAATATAGTTAGGTTTAATCTTTAATTATTATTTATTAATTAAACCGAAACAGTGTAATCGCACCTATAGGATAAAAAAGGGTTCATCAACTATGTTTGCCCGAACTAGTCTATCATTGTACGAGCATTGTCTCAAAAATAAGGTTCCTAACGGTGTATCTTTGCCGCGCGTGATGCTAGGCGAAATCTAGCAACACCGTCTTGTTTGTCGGCTCCCGCACCACCGATCACAACAACAAGCGCCTACTGGCGACGCTCAGTAGCGACCTGGCAGCCATACGCAATGGAGCCCTTGCTGCGAAATTCGTGCGGTCATCCAATTTTTGCATGCTAAATAGAAATTGGTCGCCACTTGGTGAAATATTTGGGGAAACGTGTATAACCATTCAACATGTCCTCAAATGGTGAAGAGAGTTATCTGACGGCCGCACGATGAACAACGGAGCAGGAGGCCGGCGGACTTCCTTGAGGCGGGAGTTCAAAAGTGGATTACACGTCTGCAAAATGCGTAAAAGAAAATGGCGACTATGTAGAAAAATAGCTGAAAGATCAACGTTTCCAATGGTACATTCGTTTTTTCAAATAAAAAAATTCGTTGAGCCCGAAAAAATGTGAGAACCTTATTTTTGAAACAACTCTCGTATTTGTATATTACCCGTATTTCCCATGAGTTTAATTATTCTTGTCCTATATCGAAATAACCTGAGATATCGAATATACTTACTAAACGACACATCCAATGAATGAATCACTATTATTACACATCCTAGATGATAACAAGGTTACTCAGAGACGGAGCATAGCGATTAACCTCGTACTATTCAAAATGTTACTATACAACAAGCAATTTGCGAGTATATTTTTCACGCGCACTTTACTCAAGCAAACAAGTATCTTAGATGTTAAATTATTTTTTGTACAGACATTCTAATGGCAGGGAGATCCGATTTTGAAACCATATCAAATAGATGTTGAGTGAGTTGGGATGAAAGTACTGAAAGCAGTAACCTTGCTATACTTTAGGTGTGCAATATTGTAAAAGACCTTTACCCCCGAAAAGAACCAAATTCAATATAAAATAACTACTTACACTGTAGCAAAATTCCCTGCATTCTGCCCTTCATCAATTCTTTAGCCTTTCTTAGCTCATCGTCATATTGAGATTTCTCGCTCAACAGACGCCTTATGTGCGAGTTCGTAGATTGAATCATTGAATAAAAGGTGTTGACATTCCTTTTGTTACAGTCACCTCTATCTAGCCAGGTTATAACAATCTGCAAAGGAAAAGCACTATGTATAGTGGAAGAATATTGGAGTAGTAAGAAATTTCACAGGATATCTTAATTGCTCTGTATTATACACTAAGGACCAAATTTGACTGACGGGCGCGAGTTCAATGTGTACAAGACAGAAGAGCAAGGAGTGTGTAAGGCACATATGTTAAAAAGAGATAGAAGCCGGCTGGATAGCGAAGCTCATCGCCACGTTGCCTAGCAACGCTGACGCAGAAGGTTGTGTAATCTGCCGCGTTGCCAATGTCTTACACCAGTTCCTTGAATTAAGACGCATTCTGAAAATATGCGTAAGTTTATTGTTTACGCCCAAATAATGGTTTTCTTTTGAGCGTACACATTTTTGAATTGTGTCGATTCTGTTTAGAAATGATTCCCGGTCGGTCCTAACAGCGCTCCTTTTCCATGTTAGGAGGAAATGAAAAGTAATTGTAAAAGAAATTAAAACACTAACTTGCATCAAAATTGAAATAAATAAATACAGTACAGTCCCGCTAATCCGAACACGGCTAATCCGAACATCCCGTTGATCCGAACTGCTCCGCGGCGAAAATTTTATTATTTCAAGGACGAAAATCGGTGAATATTTCAATATAAAACAGTGTAAACCTTAGTTCAAAACAGTTCTTCATTTAATATTTACGCACTGTACATCAAGTTATGGTACAAATTTTAAAATGGAATAAACTACAGAACAGAACACTAATGTTTAGCATGAAAAATTGTCAATGACCGAGCTAATCCGTTACTCCGGTCAATCCGAACAATCACGTAATCCGAACAGGGGTCGGCCCGATATTGTTCGGATTATCGGGACTGTAATTCTAATCAAAATGAAATCAACAATCACTCCTCCAAAGTGGTAGCCCTTCCGTGGGGGTAACCGTAAAAACGAGTCTCCACATATCCCCACAAAAAGAAATCTTTGGGCGCCAAGTCAGGAGATCCCGCTGGCCATTGTATGTTTCCATGAGTAGAGATCAGGCGTCCGGGAAAAAATGCTTCAAAAAATTCCCGAACCTCTCACGCGTTGTGAGCAGGGCAGCCATCATCTTGAAACCAAATATCATAAAGGTTGATGCCCAGGCAAATAACGCGGAAAATTTAAGGTACCATTAATGGAAAAAGGCACCCAAATATTAACTTTTGAGATACTGCGTCCTTAATGGTAAACTTGAATGTTTGTTTTCTCTTGACCAATTCCTAAGGTTTTGGGGATTATGATGTCCATGAAAAGAAAAGCTGGATTCGTCCGAAAACAATATGTTTTGTAGAAATCGGTCAACGTTGTCAACGATTTCTCTCATGGAATCACAAAACTCTATTCTCCTGGTATGATCAGCGGAAAATATCTCTGCGTTTTTTGGTACTTAAATGGCTTGTATCCATACTTCTTCAAAATACGCCTGACTGTACTGTCCGGGACACAGACTTCTGATGCGGTACTACTCGAACAATGTTGGGGTTCCTCTCTCTGAAGCGTATCTTCGACATAACCACAAAGAGCGTCGTCCCTGACAACCTTGTCCTCTGAAACATTTTCTTCTTCTTCAAGAGTTGATGCAGCCACGATTGACGAAGTTTCGGAAAAGGCTGCTAACCGTGGTCGGACTAATGCAAGATTGATCAGTGTACGTAAAGACAAACTATTATACAAAAAGGATAAAATCTCAAAAAAAAACTATAGAGAAATAAGCCTACATAAATTTAAATAACAGTTGTCTTTCCAGTTCTTCTGTAGTGTGTGACCCATTTTGATTAAGGTTTAAAGATAGATATGATTGTTATATCCAAGCCGACTGGTGATTTTTTCAGATTTTACTTATGGTTTGTTATTGTTACAAAAACAAAGAAATTAATGATGATGGATCCCTCGAGTACGAAGAATTCTGGACGTAAACTCGCTCCACTCTCGGAATGTCCGGGTGGAGGGTGGACCCGAAGGAACAACATCGAAGATAAAATTTGTTTCACGAACATCTGCGGGATTGACAGCAACATTAATGCTGTTCATGACTACGTGCAATTCAATCGTCCCGCCATACTTTTCTTGGCGGATACAAAAATCTCAGACCGATTAACCATCTTAACTTCCCAAATTACGAGGTGCACTCAAATCTGAGAAAGAACGAGGGAGTTGTGGCCTTTGTCCGCAGCAGTCTTTTCTGTTTCAGAGATATTTCTCTGGGATCAGACCCGAAGGACATTCTGTGGCTTCGCCTCAACTCTAAAACATCCCCAAATTTATTTGCTGCCTTTACGCTCTCCCTCGGACCATAACTGGGATGACCTACTTGAACACCGCGCAGTCAAGATCGACTTCTTGAACATCAATCACCCCGTTTCAGAGGTAGTTCTCCTCGGTGATTTCAATGCCCTTAATGAGCTTTGGCTGGGCTCAAACAAGACCGATGCAGCAGGTCGTGCAGTTGAAGCGTTCGCTCTTACTGTCCCTTACAGCACTGCTGTCCTGTCGCCCCTGGGTAACTCAGACCACGGTGTTGTGGAGGTTAGGTTTCGGTCAGAACCCGCTGTGGCAGCAGAAACTCGCACAGGCCGCAAAATTTGGCATTACGGACATGTCGACTGGGAGGGGCTCAGAGACTTCTTCTCTACCTTTCATTGGAGAGAAGCCTGTTTCACTGACACAACGGAAAAGGGTGCAACCTGTGTGCATATGTGCATTCATTTCGGGCCTGATGAAACCAACAAGTAGAAATACGTATTGCTCGGGTTACCTAGCCTATTTTCTGCTCGAATCCACTTTCCTTCTTTTTGCTGATTTTGCCCATTATTTTCCTATTTTTTGTTATATATATATATATATATATATATATACCTTTCTCCGCGTGATCATTTTCTATATATATATAAATGATATCTTTCTCATGTAGAACACTGCAAAATTCAAATATTTGCTAACGATACTTTGACATAAACATTTGGACACTGCTTCAGAACTGTTAAATAGTGATATTAAAAAAATTGTGGTGGTTAAATGTTAATAAACTAAAATTAAACACTAATAAAACAAAATGTGTGTCAAAAGGGAAACATTTACTTGACAATACAATTAGGCTCATGATTAATGATGAAAAAATTGAAGTAGTCGAATCATTCAAATATCTGGGTATACGACTATATGTGGATAGTAACTACTGTTTCAAAAACATTAGGAATACATTATTTCAAAAATATCAAAAAAGAACAATTATTTCTATAGAGTTTCCCATAATCTTAGTATGCCTTCCAAAAAAATTGTGTATAACATTAATTTTTTATATTGATCAACCATCTTGTTTATAGCAAATGAATACATATTTTCAAAATGGCAAAGTCTACAAAATAAAGCTATGAGAATCATTTAAAATAAAAACATATATTATTAGATTAAGTCTATGTTGAAAGAACTTCAGAGGTTGTATGTAAAAAAATTCATGTTATTTAGTTCTCATTTTGGTATTCAAATTAAAAAAATTATTTATTACCACCACATTTAGAATATTTCACTAAATTATCATTAGTCATTATCATAACTACGAAACTAGAGGCAGTATAGGTTTTCATCTGCAAAATTGTAATAGTAGCATAACTAGTAAATCTGTAGGTATTTCAAAAGGGAGTAGTTGAATTTAAAAATGTTTAAGGTGAAATTAAAAAATAACTTTATGAATACTAAAAATGCATAGTGATGTAGTTTTAATAGACAAGAATGTAAAATTAAAGAAAATGGATTAAAAAAATGTGTAAACGACTAATTATGCAAAATTGAGATTGTAGCATTAATGTTAAATAAATCTTCAACAAACAAACAACCAATATTAAGGCCAAACTGTGGTGACATATTATTTTCTCGCAAGAAAAACAATATGGTACCTTTGAGGTATCGATTTCTGACATTGCGAACCCATTAACGACGTAGATGCTGCATTTGTGGTTCTGGGTGGGTTTGAGTGTTCTCTAATCGAGGATGACGTGCGACTTTGAGGAGGATGGACATCTTTTCGGGAGCGGGAATGCCTACCCAAGGCAGTCCTGTAGTTTGTTGGTTTTGCGCGGTACCATTCGAACCTTGTACTGTTACACAAATATGTGACAATGGCAAGTCAGACAGTGACAACCATTTGCCAATATCACAGTCAATTAAATTGGGCTGAAATGATGAAATGACGAACGCATACCTGTACAGCTTTCGTGAAAGTTTCATCCTGCTTGATCTTCTCAGCTACGGCCGCTGCCTCGTGATCCGTATAATGAACGACAGGTGGAGGTGACGGCGGTCGCATCCTTTCTTCCTCCATTCGTTCCCTATGGCGTTGCTCTCTCTGCAACTGCCTCTGCCTGCATTCCCATTCATATTGATCGTCGCGCGCCTGCAATTTCAAAAATAGAGTCAACGGAACTGACTGGACAACTAAGAGAATGGCACTTAAAAAATTTCGAAATTCTGAGTATTTCCGAAAATAGACGAGAAAAACTGAATTTTCCCACTTTACTTGAGTTGAGATTTAAACTGCGTTAACACTTTTTCTCATGAATATGGTTACACAATGACGTTTCATCTCTTGTGCTCAATCATCATTTTTCATGGAAAATATTCCGTTGCAGCTGTAGTGTGAAACTGTCAATGTTTGATGTTTGATGACATTATAATATCTCTTGATACGTACTTTGAATGCTGGAAAAACACCAACTTCAAACCGAGAAAGGTTCCCCAGACAAAAGACATTTCATAGTTTTTGTTTTTATTGCTGTTTGTCGACAGTTTTTGAAAACTGACTGTCATATTTTTGGAGCTAAGATTTACACACCTAAATGTGTACGATTATTATATATCTAGTATGTGCGTGACATTACTCGTATTATCTGAAGCTTCTCAATCATGGAGGTCAGTGAATGGAAAATTTCATATTGAGACTATAAAGTTTAGTATAAAACATTTTTTCTGAACGCTCATAAACAAAAAGTTACAGTTAGGACAACGTATAGCAGCGCACCTTATTTAAAGCGTCTGGCAGTGCTGATCATTACTTCGCAAAAATGTTTCATAAAGTGGACGCGGTTACTGGTAATTCGGCGATTACATCCAGGACGTAATATGGAACATAAAATACAAAAGATACACCATATATACAGCGCGAGTTTTTAGTTTAGTTAGGTCGATAACTAACGTTATTGCACATGGGATCTAAAAAAAGAAAAATACAAAAATTGTATGCTCCTTACTTGTAAAATATTTTCATCTCTTCAAGGTGATCCATAACTACGCGGTGACACAGGTATAGTTTTCTTATTGAAAAGACCTACATTTTATTACAGATATGATCCTATCAAATAATGCAATTTGATACAGCATAATATACAAGGTATGTCGCAAAGTAAACAGGACAAAGAAAAAAATGAACAAACATTTTTTGTTTCGGAAAATCGAATTTATTTATTCAAAATAGTGTCCTTTTATTTTTTATATTGATCAACCGTCTTGTTTACAGCAAATGAATACATATTTCCAAAATTGCAAATTCTACAAAATAAAGCTATGAGAATCATTTTGAATAAAACGAATATGCTAGGATTAAGTCTATGTTAAAAGAACTTCAGCGGTTGAATGTGTAAAATTTCATGTTAGTTAGTTCTCATTTTCGCATTCAAATTAATAGAATCATTTATTACCACCACATTAAGAATATTTCACAAAATTATCATTGTGTAGCGTCGATCGATGAGATGGTTGCATTATCCTTCAACAAGCGCCAGCTTCCTTTTTCGCGATATTCTGGCCGAACACGACGAATACGCGACAGCTAACGCCTCATAACACCAAGATAAAATACAACATTAACCATTTGGCCCGGTTTAGCAAATTCTTTGTGAATAATTCCCTTCGAATCGTAGAAAAAAATCAGCATTGTCTTCACTTTGGACTTTTCCAAACAGCTTTCTGTCGGATCTGGCTCGCTTGGGTGCGTCCATCCGGCACGTTGACACTTGGTTTCAGGATCGTATTGAAAACACCACGTTCCGTCCCCAATCACAATGTTGTACAGAATGTTTTTGTCTTTTTTGGCCTCTTTAATGATGTCTCTCGAATGTTGAATTCGAAGCAATTTTTGGTCATCCGTGAGCTTGTGCGGAACAAACTGTGAATACACCTTTCTCATGCCCAAATTCTTGGTCAAAATACAGGGGATTGAACCTTTCGAGATATTTAATTCCATTTCTTTGCATCTCAATGAAGATTTTGGATCATTTTTGATAAATTCACGCACTGTTTCGGTTTCTGGCGTAATCGCAAGTTTTGGATGGCTAACATGTTCTTCATCTTCCAGCGACTCACCACCCTCTTCGAACCGTCTAAACCACTCGTGGACCCGGCTACGAGATAAACAATCAGCACCATACATCAACATCTGATGCGTTTCGGTAAATTTTTTACCAAGTTTAACACAGAACTTAATATTGGCTCTTTGTTCCATGCTGATTTTTCGACTGATGCTTAAAACGTACTGTCACTTTGAACGCGATAGCTCCACGTGAAGTTGCACCAATCCAACTCTAGTTTTGATAACTTATTAATATAATATATACTTATTAACTTTCACAACTCGCATCTCCTCAGCTGTTATAACTAGAGTACTAAATTTTTCGACAGACTAACTTTACGATCCCATATTTCAAGGGCGCTGGTAGTCCAAAGGATCAATTTAAGTGAGATTTTCAAAAATAGGTAGTGAGAAAATAGTAAGAAATAATGAATTTATACATTAAAAAGTGAGTTATTTTTCTGAGAAATTGAATATATTGACAAATTTAATATTCATAAGAATGGATGAAAAAAACGAGAATAACTCACATAAGGTCTTTGTTACTGTTTTACTAACGCAAGCAAAAATAATTATTCATATGTCAAATTCAATTCAATGCATAAAAAAGTATAACAAATTCTTGTAAATGCTGGAGACGTACTCTACCTATTACGTATTCTTACCCAATTGATTGACCCTACATTTTAGCGAACTAATGTTAAAAAATTGATATTTGATATAGTTATCATAGCATAGTTGACTAACTTAATCATCAGACCGTAAGGTCAGAGTTTTTGTCATTGGGAATCAAGTGGGGCTCTGTTCGATTGGTTTCCTTGGCCACTTCCTGGCTTCATCATCAAATCAGCTCCATGTCTTAATAATATTGTATTGTCAATTGTGATATTGAACGTCCGCCATACTGCATTAGAATGGCGTTACTTTGTTTGTTGTGACTTTCATCAATACCTTTCATTTGATATCCATATGGGAGCGACTATGGAAATTATAAATCGATATTTTGCGGTGGCCGCCATATTGGATCTAGAATGACATCACGTCGCTTATTGCATCTCTCTCATCAAGCCCTATCAGTCGATAACTATACCATAGATGTACGAGGGATGTCTTTTATGTTTTGCATATAGAAACATAGTAGGCCGCGCGGATCGAACGTCAGTACTGAATCTTAACCTCACTCTTTAGTAAACTTAAATTCAAAGTTTCACAACAATACGTGCAGGGTTCTCACTACAGTGAATTTTTAAGTGTCACATTAGAAAAATGGAACTCAACCGAGAACATTTCCGCGCCATAATTTATTACAACTTTCAGAGCCAATTATCGCAACAAGAATGCCTTGCTGAATTACTGTCCGTTTTCGGCAACGAAGCGCCACATCAGTCGACAATTTCCCGTTGGTATGGAGAATTCAAACGTGGACGGGTGAGTCTTAGCGAGGATCCCAGGGTGGGTGCACCAAAAACGGCAGTCACCCAGGAAAACGATGCTATGCGCAAACTCATCATTGAAGACAGACATGTGACATATCGCGAGATTGAGGCGTCCTTGAAGATCTCAACGACCTCAATTCAAAAAAATTTACATGAAGTATTAGAAGTAAGAAAATTAGTTTCTCGTTGGATACCCCACCTGTTGACTGAAGAGCAGAAAGCAGCCAGGGTTAATTGGTGTCAAAAAACGCTTGACCGTTTCAATTCCGGAAACTGAAAAAATGTGTACAGTATTGTTAGTGGTGATGAATCGTGGATTTACTGTTATGAACCAGAAAATAAACGACAGTCGGCTGTTTGGGTGTTCCAAGGTGAAGAAAAGCCAACAAAAGTCGTTCTCGAAGTGTTTCGAAAAAGATGGTCGCGACATTTGTGTCAAAACCGGGTCATATTGGAACAGTTCCTCTTAATGAGCAAAGAACTGTTACTGCGGATTGGTATACCACCATTTGTTTGCCAAAAGTCATCACCGAGCTTCGAAAAATCAACCCCGAAAGAAGAATCATCCTCCACCAAGACAATGCAAGCTCGAACACACCCCAAAAAACAAGGCAGTATTTAACGGAAGAAAACGTGGAATTATTGGATCATCCTCCATATAGTCCCGATCTAAGTTCTAACGATTTCTTTACTTTCCCGAAAATTAAAAACAGACTGCGTGGTCAAAGGTTCCAGTCACCAGAAGAAGCAGTTGACGCATTCAAAAATGCCGTTTTGGACCTGCCAGCAAACGAGTGGAATAAGCGCTTCGAAAATTGGTTCGAGCGCAAGCAGATGTGTATTAATCTTCGTTGAGTATACTTCGAAAAACAATAAAGTCATTTACAACTACCTACCGTGTTGTTTTATTTCAATATGCAAAACTTAAAAGACATCCCTTGTAACTAATAAAATTATGAATGTCGACATACTTGATTTGTCATCACATTTTGCTTATTGCAAATTGCGACCTGCCTCATACTGAATTTAGAATGACGTCAGTTTGCTTATTATGTTTCTCTAATCAAGTGCTTTCATATATGATACCCATATCATATACTATGGAAATGATAAAGCGCCATTACGTAGCATACGCCATCTTAGATTCAAAATGGCGGCTGTTAATTCATTATCTATTGCCAAAAGAACCAGACACGCATACAAAAGTTCAGCTCGATTGGTTAAGTTTAATTAGTTCAAAATTCTGTTTTAGGATTTGTCTCACACGTGCATACTAACGAACTAACTTGCTTACAGTTACTTGTACAAGGCTTGTAAAAAGTACCATTGTTAATGCAATTTATATTGAGATCCCAGCTCAAATTAAGCCAGGAGAAAATGAAAACGGTAAATTCGTATTTTTTGTCTCTCTGAATATACTCTGAATTGCCAAACTATATAAGTAACATTTTATTAGTTACCTGAATGCGCAACTTTGCCTTCATAAACGATGAATTGTATAATTGACCGTTTCCGAATTCGAAATCTCTAGTGCAGGTATATAGAGGGGCTCTTAGCAAAGTTGAATTAAAATTCAACATAGATTCCAACTAATCCTAGTAATTTTATCATCAGACTGTAAGACCAGAGTACTTGTCATTAGGAATCAAGCGAGGCTCTATTCGCCGGGTTCCCATGACTACTTCCTGGCTTCATCATCAGATATTGCATTAGGTTGACGTTACTTTGTTTGTTGTGTTTCTTTCATCAATCCCTTTTATTTGATATCCATAATGTGTGACTATCGATATTATACATCGATATTTTGCGGCCGCTGCCATATTGGATCTAGAATGACGTCATGATGCTTACGGTATCCCTATCATCAAACTATTTTAGTCGATAACCATATCAATGGGGATAACTATAGAAATTATAAATCGCGAAATTGCGGCCTCCGTCATATTGAATTTAGAATGACGTCAGTTCGCTTATTGTGTTTCTATCATCAAGCTCTTTCATATATGATACCCATATCATATACTATGAAAATGATAAATCGCCATTATGTAGCATACGCCATATTAGATTAAAAATGGCAGCAATTAATTCATTATCTTTTTTCACACGAACCAGACAGGCATACAAAAGGTCAGCTTCATTGGTTAAGATTATTTGGTTGAAAATTCAATTTCAGGATTTGTCTCACACATGCATACTAACGAACTAACACACTTACAGTTACTTGTAAAAAGTAATGCAATTTATATTGAAATCCCAGCTCAAACTAAGCCAGGAGGAAAAGAAAAGAGTTCATGGTAAATTTTATTTTCTATCTCTCTAAAAATTCTCTGAACTGCCAAGCTACCTAAGTAACATTTTATTGGTTACCTAAATGCGCAACTTTGCCTTCATAAACGATGAACTGTTTTGCTGACCGTTTCCGAATTTGAAATCTCTAGTGCAGGTGTGTAGAGTGCTTTGAGCAAATCTGAATTAAAATTCAACGTAGATTTCAACTAATTCTAGTAATTTCTCATGTAATACATACTGACTCAGCTTGGAAAGAACCCTGCACATAAGCAACTTAGTCATGGTTTATTATTATAAAAAAAATAATTTAATTTGAGAGAAAGAGGGCATCTACTTCGATAACGTTCATAAACTACAATAAAACAAGAAATAGGAACAAAATCAGACCAAATCTTGTGCCTACTGAGGAAGTGTTAAAGCAGACCAGAATTTACTGGTCAAATTATACGATAAACTACCTCCGGAGACCAAAAGTCTTGAATTAACTAACTTCAAAAGTAGTGCTGAGCAATATCTCCTACAACTTGCTCCATATATTATGTCAGAGATTTTAGATACTGGTTTTGAATGTACTTAGATGTATGTGTTATGTTATAGAACCTATAGTATGTTTTGATACTAACTGTTAAATATATATATAATAGTGACTTCACTTTCAATGAAAAGTGAGTAAAAGTGAGATGGATCGAAAAAAGTGAAAAAAGTGTGTCGCCAGCATCCCTAAAGAAGGCATACTATCAAGAGCCTTAAATTCATTAACCATTGTAACAAGGTACCTGCGCGAAGTCTACATGAAGCCTTCCTGTATTGGCTGGTTCTGCATTTGAGCCAATTCTGACTCTATAACCAGATAAAAAGATAGCAGCATCCACGGATGCTTCATAAACAAACCGGACATGACAGAAGTTCTTTTTGCTCAAACGCAATGTAGTAATCTCTCCACATCTGTCAAATATCTCTCTGATTATATCCTCAGTCATATTTTCTGGTAAACCTCCAACAAATATTGTTCGACATCCTAGAAAAAAAACATGAAATCGATAAGCATCCAAAGATATAATATGTAATGCAGTGAATGTAGCGAGTACCCTTAAATAAATAAAAGTAATTTTAACTTCGCAGTTACAAACAATATACAAGGTAAAATATGTCTAGTAGGTTAGGAATCCATGGATTACTAAAAACGTGTAACTTTCCAGATTTGTTGTAGGTCAGTCAAATTGCGTGGTGGCTTTTAGTTATTACAGAACACAATTGTAATTAATACAGTGAAATTCCCCTTCGCGGACACCCCTCTTATACGGATACCTCCTTTAAACGGACAGTTTATCATGATCCTGACTGACTCTCATATAATTTGCATTGCATTAACTCTATCTTGGACGGACATTCTCTTGAACGGACGCAGAAACTGTTCTCCTAACCGGACAAAAAACAAAATAAAAAGAAACGCCTTGTCTTATTATTTTTTTTTTGACAGTATCGCTATTACATATTCTCAATCGTGCCGCGCGCCATCTTCGCTGGGACTTTCTCGATTAAACCGGGGATTCACCGACTTTAATCTTTCGCAACCACCTAACATATGTGGTGCATTTCTGCACGGCATGAATTAGGGATTACCCCGAGTTGGTCGGGGTTTTAACGTTCTTATTCTTTGGCTAATGCTGAAGATGTTTCATCGTTTTTGAAAAAAATCTTTCTTTGATTAAAGGATATTCACGACACACGTTTTAGGGCTCTACGCTCAAAACGCTCACATTGAAGAAGGAAAAATGTGTTGGGAGTAAGTATCCCAACGAGTGGTTTACAATAAATTTTGCACTGTGTAATTATGGCGAGTGAAAAAGAAAAACTCCCAGTCATTGGTAAGACAGCTAAACCCTGAGTTTTTGAAAGCATTAACATAAATGACCTACTTGTAATTTGGAAATGCAATAAGAAAGCTTGGATGACAAAAAAATTAAGACAGAGTGTTTCTAAGGCCTAGATTCGAAAATGGCAAAAGAAAAATTTTGTCATTTTAAGACAATCTCATCCAAAAGACATTCCCTTGAAAATACAAAAATCTCATTTTTGTCCGCTAATTGTACATCAGCTTGTCAACCTCTTATCCAAGGGTTTACAAAAAGAGTTAAAACGTATTACCGAAGTCTAATACTCAAACACCTGCAAGTAAACATTGAAACTGCTGGTACAGCTTTTGAGTTAATAAAGAAAATTACGACATTGGATACAGTTTTAATTGTCACAGTTTCTTTAATATATTCAGTTTTCATTAAAAACACGATTTTTGTCGTAATTCTTTTATACCTGTACGTACACCCCTTTTGAACAGACATTTTCAGTCGGTCCCGTCGGTCCGTCAAAATGAGATTTCACTGTATATGGTTGTTCTGAATGACCCCCTTACCACCTCCTTTCGTTCGCTGCATGACTTCTGGGAGAGCCTCGATATATGTTGCAAAGATAAATAAAGGGTTATTATTAATATAATGGGCAAAAACCATAATCAATTGGCGCTGAAATATAATTAGCAGTTCCGCAAATGGCTTGTTGCCAAAAATTCTGACATAAATATGGTATTATAGATTGATCAAACAATACCTACCTGGAGGCCTATCCCTTGTAGAAGGCATGGGAGCATTTGGATTTGGCGGGAATAGTGTACAAGACTTGCAATGAATAATCTCTTTGACTGGATTCATTATTATTGATGGATCTGGAGTGATCAAGTTAGGATCAGGAGGCATGATAGACGGCATCATTCCATAGTTATTTATGGAGATCATATTTGGGTCCACTATCATATTCATACCAACCATTGGGTAACCCATACCTGTAAAAATCAGTATAATATGTGAAAACTAACACAAGCTGAACTGGATTTGTTTGCTTTCCGTCTCTATAATCATGACCAACCATTCACGATGTCGTTACATGTGTGTTAGCACCCATCAGTACAGTATAGGTCTCGTCTTGGAGACTGTCAACCAAAAGCAAACATGTTGATGTGTTCTGAAAAATTTGGTAAGTAGTGCGAGGCGAGGCGCGCAGACTGAGTTCTTAATGCGCCAACACTAATACATCTTGGCACAAAGGTTAAAAATGCAGGAAGGTTCCTACGCTAACGGACTAAAGACAAACTTTCTTGTAGGTTTCTCCCCACTTTAAGTTAAAATGATGTTAAGGATGAAGTGCCTAATCCTGAGTTTTTTAAAACAAATCTGGCCCAAAAAGTTTAATATTTGTATACAGGAATCATAGCTGGAACCACCAGTAAAATTTGGATTAACCAGATAGGGACAATAAATATTGAAACAGCAAATGAGAGTCGTTTTAATGAGAAAATTAGCACATTTTACACTGGACACAAATTTGAATACGACAATCAACTTATTTTCTCTGGACATGTTAGAGAATGTAAGCATTACGCAGAAGCTGCATCGAGTATTACTGTTTTATTGTTGTGCCTACATCTAATGCATTCAAAGAACACGTATAACTGAGGAAAATATGACGAGCACGCATTCAATTATTGTTGGATGTGGTTTCCATTCAGATATTAGTAACCAACACAAACAGAATGAACAGCTCACCTCATTTTTCAATGAAGAAATTCCATAAATACCTCTTTTCAAAAAGTAATTGTTTCTTTTTATTCTATCAAGATATCAATCTATATATATAATGAAGTGATTACAGAGTGCAAAAATAGACTGGATATTCTGTTACCCTATGTAGAGAAGATGGTGATTATAAAGAAATGTACAAGAACACAAAAAAAGAATATGACTATTTGTTGCAGAAGGCCAAATCAGAAAGATACGATCAGAAAATCAGAGATCCAAATCTGACACCACAACAGTATAATGCATATATACTCGTATTATCAGCAATGCCGCTTTTACTGAAAGATGTGACACAGGTACCTTTTGACTGCACTTTACAAGAAAACGACCAATCATTATACTTAAGACCAATGACTGTTGATGAAGTGTGTGAACTGTCGAGGAGGATAAAAAATAAATTCAGCTGTGGTATAGATGAAGTTCCAACAACAATAGTAAATATTTCCATTCCAGTTTTAAAACATGTTTTGTGCTTACTTATTAATAATGCTTTTAGACAAGGATCAATCCCAGAGAATTTGAAAATAGCTATTATAAAACCAATTTTTAAAAAAGGTAGTCCAGAGCAATTAGAAAATTATAAGCCAATCAATATTTTAACAGGTTTTTCAAAACTATATGAGTTAGGCATCAGTAAGAGATTATTAGAATTTATGAATGACTAATTTATTTAATACACATCAGCATGGTTACCTACATGTGAGGTCAACAGATACTGCAATCTTTCAATATGTTCAAACAGTACTTAAGCAATTAGAGGAGGGAAACTTAGCGGTTGGTTTCTACCTGGACTTGTCCAAAGCTTATGATTGCATCAACAGAGACATATTGTTATTAAAGCTACAAAGATATGGTGTAAGAGGAACTGCGCTAGAATTGTTCAAGTCATACCTCTATAATAGACACCAGAGGGTTGAAATTGTTAAAGGAGGTCAAACTTACAAGTCAAACATTGAGTTAACTTCAACCGGCATAGCACAGGGTAGTATACTTGGGCCCATTTTGTTGGTAGTTTTTTTAAACGATCTCTGGTTTGTTACTAGTGGTGATCAGAGCAAGCATAAAATTATCTGTAAAGGCTGATGACACAAATTTAGTGTTGGGTGGGACAAGTGTAGAGGACCTAACTGCTAATGGGAATCTCTTATTCAGGAGTGTGAATACATGGTTTTCTGAGAACAAACTAGTGCTGAATAAATCCAAAACTGATGCAACATTATTTAGAACTAAGCAGAGTAAAGTCATTAAGTCACAATGTATCGATAGTGATGATCATCAACTCCAGTTGATTGAAATTGTAAAATTCTTGATGAATTTTTAGATTGGACAACACATGTACTCGAACTGCTGAAGAGGCTCAATTCCATTTGCTCTGGTTTTAGGGTAATATCAAGATATTTAAATAATACGAGTATGAAAATATTGTACCGTGCTAATTTTGAAAGTGTTCTAAAGAATGGGATTATTTTTTGGGGACGCAATAGGTTTATTCAAAAAAAATTTGTGGTTCAAAAAAGACCAGTACGTCTGCTAAAGGAACTAAATTTCAATGACACTTTCAGGGGGTGTTTAAAACTGAAAAAATCATGACTATGTATGCCATCTATCTGTATGAGTGTCTTATATTTTTTTTTCAAAATAAAAATTTATTTGAGCTTGAGGTGCAAACTGTTTATGATACTCGAACAGTCAATGTTACTTATCCGATACACAGATTATTCTCCTCAGAAAAAAGCCCTATTTACATGTGATTAAAATTGTTTAACAATCTACCAAATGAAATTAAAAACAAACAGTTTACATAAATTTAAAAAGACTATTAAGCAATTTCTAGTACAGTCAGAGCCTTATACAATAGATGAGTTCTATGGGAGTTGTAATAGTTTAAGATTGTAGCTGTTTTAAGATAAATAAACATGTAACACAAAAAAAAGGTCTCAGGTAAACTACTATAGTTATGGTGATAGTGACACAACATTTCATTTTGTAGTGGCTATACAATTTTTGTAATGTCATTGTACAATTTGGAATATAGATTACTATTATTATTATTATATCCAAACTTTCCGAACCTTATTATTTTCGGTTAGATGGACACAAGAAACCTCGTCCTTGGTACAGTATTTTCTTATTACCAGGAAATTTTTAACAATCTACCAAATGAAATTAAAAACATAAACAGTTTACATAAATTTAAAAAGACTATTAAGCAATGTCTAGTACAGTCAGAGCCTTATACAATAGATTAGTTCTATGGGAGTTGTAATAGTTTAAGATTGTAGCGATTTGAAGATAAATAACCATATAACACAAAAAAAGGTCTCAGGTAAACTACTATAGTTATGGTGATAGTGACACATTTCATTTTGTAGTGGCTATACAATTGTTGTAATGTCATTGTACAATTTGGAATATAGATTATTATTATTATTATATCCAAACTTTCCTGAACCTTATTATTTTCGGTTAGATAGACACAAGAAACCTCGTCCTTGGTACAGTATTTTCCTATTACCAGGAAATTGTGTTGAAGGTTTAAAAATCAAGACTTCAAAACTTAAACTTTAAATAAGTATGATTCCAGCAGATTACGATCTCATAGCATTAACTGAAACTTAATTGACTTATGGTTTCCAAAATGTGTTTGTTTGTGGAAAATTTATTTAGCATTAAGGCTACAATGTCAATTTTGTCTAATTATTCGTTTACACATTTTTTGAATCCATTTTCTGTAATTTTACATTATTGTCTATTAAAATTACATCACTATGCATTCTGAGTATTCATAGTGATTTTTTAATATCACCTTAAACATTTTAAAATCATAACACATTTTAATACCATTATTCAATTTATTAAATTCCCTTTTGAAATATAGATTTGCTAGTTAACTATTATTACAAATTTGCAGATGAAAATCTATACTGCCTCTAGTTTCGTAGTTATGATAATGACTATTTGATTTTGTGAAGTTTTCTAAATGTGGTGGCAATAAACGATTTTTTAATTTGAATACGAAAATAAGGACTAAATAAAATGATATTTTTTACATTCAACCACTGTAGTTCATCTGACTTAATCCTAGCATATTTGTTTTTGTTTAAAATGATTCTCGTAGCTTTATTTTATAGAATTTGAATGTTTTCATATGCTCTATACACGATGGTTGGACAATATAAAAAATGGGGAAGAATTATAGTCATTAATCATCAGCTAAATGTAAATTGTCATTGTAAATTTTTGTTGTTTGCTGATGACTTAAAATTATATAAAGTAATTAGATCTATTTATGATAGATACTTAGTGCAAATTGATATAAATTCGTTACTTATTTGGAGTATATTAAACGGCATACCTTTTAACATCAAAAAGTGTTATTTTATTACTTTTGGTAAATGTAACTTACAAGATGTTGATTATAACTTTGACAACGTTGGGTTAGAAAAGTAAGACTCCATAAAAGATCTTGGTATCATTTTTGATTCTAAATTATCGTTTAATTGTCATATTGAACACATTTAGAGATTCAGCAATAAAAAAAACAATTTTTAAAGAGATTTACAAGAGATTTTAAAAGTATTAGCACCTTCAGAACTATGTACTATTCTTTTGTATATCCAATTCTAAGCCATGGTTCTGTAGTTTGGAATCCTTATCTTAAATATCAAATAGATTCTCTTGAAAGAGCCAATCATGTCTTTTTAAGATATGTTGCATACAGAACTGGTATGCCAATGAATTTTACCAATCACAACTACACAAATATTTCAAACAAAATTATGATTCCAACGCTTAAAAGTACTAGGAACAGGATTGATGTTTTATTTGCTCATAATTTATTTAATAACATTATTGATAATTTCTGTTTATTGTCAAAATTCAGATTTTATGTGCCACCAAGAATGTTAAGACGTAATAATGTTTATTTTCATGTTATGTCACCTAAATCAGATCTGATAAATCATTCTCCTGTTTTTAGATTATCTAAACTATGTAATGAACACAGTAGTTGGCTTGTATAATTCGAGTAATTATAATGTTAGAAATTTGTCAAAGTCTATGTTTACATTTGAGTAGTCTTTTGATTTTGTAATATTTGAATTTATGATTACTAGATTATTGCATTTCCTCATTTGAACATCTGTATTAAATTTCGCAGATGATTATGTTCCCAGTTGATTGACTTATATACTATTATATGTTACTGTTACCACATATGTAGCGCCACTTACGCGACGTTTGCGGTGCATTTTTCTATTTATAATACACATATATAATTGGGTTCGCCCATAAGTTGAATAAATAAATAAATAAATGTTGCCCTATTGACATACATTTTGTTTCATTAGTGTTTAATTTGAGCTGATTAACATTAAAATAATTCATATTTTTTCAATATCACTGTTTAAACAGTTCTAAAGCAGTGCCCAAATTTTTATGTGCTTATATATAAATGTATCGTCCGCAGATATTCGAATTTTGCAGTGTTCTAAACTGTCAGAGATATCATTTATATAAATAATAAATAGTAACAACCTTAATTTACTCCCCAGTGACACACCTACTAATATATTATGAACGCTTGACATATTTCCAGCTTTGGTTTTTTTACTTCAGTTTACGAAATAGTTTTGTAAAATGTTTAATACTGATCCTTTAAAACCATAGTGATGCAATTTCTTTAATATTTATCCGTATCTATAGTCTCAAATGCCCTTTTGAAGTCTAAAAATATTGTTAAAATACATTCTTTCTCCTCTATACATCTTCTCCAGTCTTCCACCACCATTTGTATTGCTGTTTCTGTAGAATCTTTTTTAAAATGTAGTTTGATTTCTTGTCAAAATTTTGTTTTCCATATATTAAACAATGATTCACCATTGATAATAATATTGAAACAATCACTTACAATCTTTTTTGATCGATTCTCACTTGGATTCACTGATGAATTATGATAAACTTGAAATGAACATAATTTGGGATCACCGCCATTAATCGTGTTCTCTATTTGATTTATACTGTCTATTTCTATACAATAAGTGTTTCTTTTCGCTATAATTATTTTTCTGTGACTATCCCATCTTGGAAACGCATTTTAGATAATTTAGTCTTTGTATTTAGAGAAACAATATGCTTTGTTTTCCACATCATTTCAGAATTATTTTTATTGCTCGATCTTATTATCATAGTATTTTTCCTGTTCCCTCCTGAGAACTACTACACATTCATTTCTTAATTTTGTATATTGTTTCCAATCATTTTCACTTTGGGTTATAAAAAATTTCTGTAGTCGTCATCACGTTTCAATTAAGACTCCTTGAATATCTGTGAAAATCAGGGGATTGGGTTCACTCCTTCACATACTGTTTTCTTAACCATAGATTCTCTCATATATTTATCCATATTATCCATAATTTGCTTGAAGTAGTTGACAGCATTATTGATAATTTCAGGTATATTGCTGTAAAAGTGTTTCTCGTAACTTTGTGAAATCAATTACTGTAATTTCTTTCATTTTATTTTAACTGTTGAATTCCAGTCATGCAAAATATCGTTCAAAAAAGAATTACGCAGCACTAAACTGTTCTACAGATATCTATCAATCCATAATTCGAAGATATGTGGGCTTTAGTAAAGTACAGGGAGATTTCCATTGATTGCATGATCCGCATACTTTACCCCAAGTAGCAGCAATCGTGAATACCGATTTTAAGTCTGGTTCCAAAAAAGACAATAAAAACTACCATCATTGTAGTTCTATCCCCGAATCACTATGAGTTCATCGAGGCAAGGTCCATTGCAATGAACTTAGCAGTTTTTCAAGAAAACTTAGTAAGTAACATTGAGGATGAGTAACAAGTGGATGTAGTGCATAGTGTATGCAGACCTGACAAAAGCTTTTGACAGGGGGCATCAATCAATTGTTTAACATATGTGCTATCCATGCTAAATTAGGTTGTTCCTCATATAGTGATGAGTGCTTTGATGTGAAGTTGCCAAAAGAATTTCTAAAACTGGATTAAAGTGTTTATATCGATATGGTCAAATCCAAATCTTAATCAAATCCCACTTAATAATAATAATAATATAATAATAATTATTATGATTATTATTATTGACAGCAAAATTTCTCAAGAAAAACATAAGCAACAAAGAAAAGCAAACATGTAGGACAATACCATAATGGGAAATATAAATAACATTTAGGGACCATATATATAAAAATACAAATGTAAAATGATATGTTACAAATAAGTTATCAAAAATTGTACAAGGGTTACCTACCAAAATTAAATTTTGTTGTACATGCATATATACAATAATGAAAACTGTTAAAATGACAAACACAAGTCCAGTGTGTTAAAATTGACTTAAAATGTTATTAAAATAAAATGATAGAGCTCACATGTTAAAATCAAAGCTGTACAAACATCTGTCAAGCATAAACTTTTTCACCACTCTTTTAAACCTAATGGGGTTGCTCTCAGATTATATTATTATAGAAGCATATTAAAAGTTTTAACAGCCATGTATAATGGAGCCTTCCTAAAAAATATGGACGAATGTGAAGGGACACTCAGAGTGTCTCTGCCTCTGGTCACAATGGTCATACTTTCAGCATAACAATCTGTATTACTATTAAAAAGATACATATGATTTTTAACAAATAAAACAAGTGACAAAAGATACAGGGATGAGACCGTCAAGACTCCCAATCTTGAAAAATGTTCCTGCATGATGTTCAAGGTTGAAGTCTCGAAATGCATCTCAGACTGCGCTTTTGCACTATAAAAACAGCCATGGCACCCCGCGAAGAGCCCCAGAACAATATAAGTTAACAATGACTTTACAGATGCATAATAAAATTGCCGTAAAGTGTTCAATGAAACCTCATTCCGCAGCCGCCATACCAACGCACAGAAGCTGTGGAGTTTACCAATCAAAACAGATGTTTGACAATCCCAATTCAGGTATTGATCCGCTATTACAACGAACCAACAGCGACTCACCTTTGGCAGATAATTTACTCAAAAGTAACAAGTCCAGTTTTATCAGCATTCAATTTTAATGCATAATCCTTGCACCTGTTAACAGGATGACCCCAAATAATTACATCCAGAATATTCAATCTTAATCCTAAGATCATCCAGCACAAATCATTGATATCATAGTGATTATTTTAAAACAGAGGTGATGATCTCAGGAGTAAGGGTGAATGATATAAACATATAAGATCATCCTCCTAACCTACATGTCATGAAAAACCTTTGTAAAAAAACTGTCTCTTTTCAAGTTATGTAATACCCCTGCTAATCTGGCACAAAATAAATACCTCATATACACAAGATCAGAAATTATATCCTAAAACTAACCCATTTCTGCTCCCAACATCCCTGGTGCTGGATCAGACCACACATTTGAAGCACCAATTCCTGGACCATTCTGGATCGGAATTATATCTTGATTTGTGGCACACATATCAAAGTCGTGAGATCGCTCAGTGTCCCTCCTGTCTCTATTGCCTCTGAACATTTGACTTGGTCTTCTTTCAAATAAAGGGGGGCTTCGATGACGTTCATCTCTATCATCCATCGAAGGACGTTTGCCCCGTCTGTGGTCTGGCGGAGAAAACCGCCCTTTCATTTCACTAAAAGATTATAGAAGTTCCTGTCGAGACAGGAAATAATTAACATCCTAGGCCTAGATATTGTGAAGGGTAATCAACGCTATCACATACCCAGGAATTTATCTGAAATGTTAATATTTACTTACAAATATTTTGGTCTTTTCCCCAGAACTTGTTACCCACAAAACATATACACTGAAGGTTTAATTCCATGCTATTCAATGGCAACACGGTGACTTGTATGGTTGTCAGCGACCATTTTTTGAGAGTGCAACATGGTTGCCAGATTGTGCATTAATATCCCACAACGTTGGCAGCTCTACATATAAATCTGAGATTGCTATACTTTTATATTTAGAAATTTGGTGGGATATGGGAGATCTTATAACAGCATGTGTTATTAACATTTTGCGCTATCTTGACGAATAAATCACTTTTTTGTATGTTAAAATAGCAACGTCAATAACACAAGCTGTTATAAGGTCACTCATACCTACTTACTAATCTGGAAAGATTCAGAAGAAAAACATATACTGCAAATACCTAAATATATATTTGTTATATAAATCTCATTCAGCTTTCTACAAACAAATGAGTATTAACATCATTATGGTCCAGATGTTTTCATTCCCCAGCTTTTGTTGGCACCTGCATAAATCAAAAATTAGAAAAAAATTTAATTGTGTTGATATGTTACTACAATTCATACATTTCTTTTTTTATAAGAACAATAATATGATTGTCGATGGGTACCCACAGGAATTTTTCTTGGATGTGCTGATCATCATCAAGAGATAACTGTTACCACAGCCCCCCTGAGGGCACCCATGTTATTGTTCAATAACAATACTTCGCTTTGATTTCATTAAAATTATAGTGAGCTTTACATATCAGCCCTACTGCTCTGACAATAGCTGATTCAAAACGAGGTATGAAAACTAACTTGGACAAAAAGCAGTACAAATCATCACTAGTTACTGAGTCATATAAAAACTTACAAATGTTATGTTCTGCAAATATCCTTCAGAGCTGAGCCTTTTTAGTTAGATCAGAAGTAATCTCTGCGCTTCTGATAATTCTCAGGACCTCAGGGGTTGACAACGGCAGTTGTTGAACTTTTGGTGGTGCTCCACTGTTCAAAAAGTAATGTGGAGATACAAACAGGTACGATCTTCAAATATTACATTCCTAAAATGAGACTGCTGCATCTCTGATCTTCCTCAGGATCTGCCAGAAGCCTGGCTAATGACTTGGATCACATTAAAAAAGTTGAACAGTTTTGATGTGGAGTTTGTCTTATAGTACTCGTATTTACAAACATAGGTATTACAGCTTTGTGTACTTACATTGTTATATTTCACAACTCCGAACAAAATGCATATGGCTCAAATAACATAATAGGGACTTTATTTAATTAAAATGAAATTGTTAAGACAATGACATGCTGAAAAAGTAAGGTTATTTTTGCAAAGCACAGAAAGAACCCGCCGGAAATTTAAAGCTGGCCAATCAGACAACGTCAGTTGTGAATAAGTCGCCAATTTTTGAGGGTGCGACATGGTTGTCATATTATGCACCAGCAACACTGCTTTGTTACCCATTTGCCAATAAGGATTTTTTCGCGAGTCCACGGTGTAGCACAGTGCACTACCGGGAACCGATACTCAAATTTTCGCGAAGACCGGGAATAGGGGAAGACGGATGTGACGTCGTCCGAATGTCAAAAAATCACGTGGTACGGGTACCCGCTTAACGTCTGTGAGGTACTAGCGGGTGACAGGTCTTATGTCAATTCCATTTAAAAACAGGCATCTCAATTGAAAATTTGGCTTCGCAGTACCGAAAATTGAGTTAAATTATTACATTGCACAAAAAACGATCGATCTTTTTATTTCAGATTCAAACAAGGCAGCTACGTTTATCAAGCAGGTTAAAGCAAACATTTTGCGCAACATGCGCCATCTGACCACTCCCGGTGTAACTTGAAACTGTCAAAACTTCGAGAGGCAGGGGAAATTCCATCTTTTGTGGTATATGTTTTGTGGGTACCAACCCTGGTGAAACTCATATTGACGAATGGGAAACAAAGCAGTGTTGCTGGTGCATAATATGACAACCACGTCGCACCCTCAAAAAATGACGACTTATTCACAACTGACGTTGTCTGAGTGACCAGATTTAAATTTCCGGTGGGTTTCTTCCTGTGCTCTTTGCAAAAATAACCTTACTTTTTTCAGCATGTCATTTTCTTAACATTTCATTTTAATTAAGTAAAGTCTCTATTATGTTATTTGAGCCATATGCATTTTGTTCGGAGTTGTGAAGTATAACAATGTAAGTACACAAAGCCGTAATACCTATATTTGTAAATACTACAAGACAAACTCCACATCAAAATTGTTTCTTTTTTAAGGTGATCCAAGTCATTAGCCAGGCTTCTGGCGGATCCTGGGGAAGATCAGAGATGCAGCGGTTACTCATTTTAGGAATGTAATATTGTAAGATCATACCTGTTTGTATCTCCTCATCACTCTTTGAACAGTGGAGCGCCACGAAAAGTTCAACAGCTGCTGTTGTCAACCCCTGACGTCCTGAGAATTATCAGAAGCTCAGAGATTACTTCTGATCTAACCAAAAGACTCAACTCTGAAGGATATTTGCAGGACATTTTTTTTGTTTATACTGCAACTACCACGAAGGCCTAAGCACTCATTGGGTACCGTGGGGCTATAGGGCGATACATGGAAAGGGGGTACGCCACACGGACTCTGGCGAGGGAACACGTGTGCATGCAACATGCACACATTCAACCGCCGGGTGGTACCTCCGCGTTCGACAGTCAGAGACCATCTACCACCTACGGACAATCACAACATCCATAGCCAAGAGAAAAATTTCTCCTGGGACGGGACTCGAACCCGCACAGCGCACGGCGACTGATCAGGAGACCAAAGAGTCTACTACTGCAGCCACCGCTGCTGCCTGAAGAACATAACATTTGTAAGTTTTTATATGACTCAATAACTAGTGATGATTTGTACTGCTTTTTGTCCAAGTTAGTTTTCATACTTCGTTTTAAATCAGCTATTGTCAGAGCAGTAGGGTTGATATGTAATGCTTACTGTAATTTTAATGAAATCAAAGCCCAGTATATTGAACAGTAACATGGGTGCCCACAGGGAGCTGTGGTAACAGTTATCTCTTGATGATGATCAGCACATTGAGAAAAATTCCTGTGGATACCCGTGGATAATCATATTATTGTTCAAATAAAAAAGAAATCTGTGAATTGTAGTAACATATCAACACAATTAAATGTTTTTCTAATTTTTGATTTATGCAGGTGCCAACAAAAGCTGGGGAATGAAAACATCTGGACCATAATGATGTTAATACTCATTTGTTTGTAGAAAGCTGTATGAGATTTATATAACAAATATATATTTAGGTATTTGCAGTATATGTTTTTCTTCTGAATCTTTCCAGATTAGTAAGTAGGTATGAGTGATCTTATAACAGCTTGTGTTATTGACGTTGCTATTTTAACATACAAAAAAGCATGTATTCGTCAAGATAGCGCAAAATCTTAATAACACATGCAGTTATAAGATCTTCCATATCCCACAAAATTTCTATATACAGGGTGACTTTGAAGTTGAGTCATTAATTTTCAGATAATGATTGTAGAAGGAAGATAAACCAAAATATGTGTGTAAAAATAAAAAAAATGTTACCTTGTTTTATAAAGTATCCTCCCGACAAGTATTTCAGTGCGGACCTGTATTTGATCGTGCGGTCTTGGAGCACCGGCATGGGCTCCCCGGTGAGGTCTTAAGGTCTTAAGTCACCTGATTCACGAGCCCTTTGTACTACATTAACAAAGGCACGACGGGTTGGTTGCACTTGATTGGGAAACCGATCCGCATAAAGACCCCCCCCCCCCCGTAAATAAGAATCATGTCCACAAGTTCAGCATTTTCGTAAACATAGGACATTTTTTATTTCGTTTGAGCCACGCAACTAACACCACTATTCACCCACGCGTTACCGACTGACATATTGACTGAAAACAACTGAAACAACTGAATAAAATTGTCAATGGAGTAAAAACATCGTTTCAAATTCTTTCGCTTTTTTGTTTCCGATGCGATGAACGGATAAGGCGGATTATATCCGTTGTTGCCAAACACGAGCACATAATATTATTATTGAGACAGGGCGGTACTCAAACTTCTAAAGGGCTATAACTTTGTTACTTTAATTTTACCAGAAAAATGTTAAAGGAAAAAAACATTTCTTTTGATCAGATCTACTCACTGTTAAAATAAATGACTCAACTTCGATGTCACCCTGTATATATATATATATATATATATATATATATATATATATTATATGTATAGCAATCTCAGATTTATATGCAGGGCTGGCAACGTTGTGGGATATTAATGCACAATCTGGCAACCATGTCGCACCCTCGAAAAATGGCCGCTGACAACCATACAAGTCACCGTGTTGCCATTGAATAGCATAGAATTAAACCTTCTTCAGTGTATGTTTTGTGTTCCATCTGTTCCCGCTCCGGTTCACTACGGGATCTCGCGAAAAAATCTCTAATATTTAGAGTTTGAATATGCCTTTAGACGTTTCACCCCCCTGAAATCCCACCAAACGCATAGAACTCAAGTTGGCGTTGACAGAACCTGATTTTTGACAGAGTATCGACTCTGTGACTCTGCCTCCTGTAGGGTTGCCAGGCATGGCGAATTTTCGCCAAAGTGGCGATTTGACGGCTTCCAATAGCGACTAAAATGGATAGCTTGGCGATTGGCTACTTTAGTGGCGCACCGTATAAAGCATATTGGCGATATCTGGCGTTGTTTAGCATTCCTGGTGCCACTTAATTTGTAATCCGTTTTTGCCGATATAATAATAATAATAAATCGTGCTACTCCAGAAAAACTGAAAAGCTATACAAAAAAGATAAACACATTTGATAGGTATCAAGTTTAAAAATGTAGGTGTATAAAATATGATGTATACTATATGACATATATAAGTGAAGGCTATTCAATAATTAATGAGCTAAAAGTATAAAATTGCAACAGTTATACAAACGAAGGAATGCTATATGTGAAATATTTTTGTGTGAGGTGACAGATAAATTTTATCAACTAATTTATATACTTCTAGGTATTCAAAATAAATTTATTCATATGATAGCAATTTTGTAAAAAATAATTGTATAGATTAATGAAACATGAAACGAGGACCAGCGGAAGTTCTGTGTTCTAAGCCCAATGGATCCGACCCATGTGAATGAACACTGAATGAACTCATAAATCGAATTCAAGCGGATAACCAAATGAAAATGGTATTTACCATTTTGGATTGGTATTTACCGATCGGTTTAAGCTAGTGTGGTTATCAGTTTGGTTATAAGATCCGTGCCGTCATGAATCAGCTGTTATATGTCATAGTTATCACCGCAAAATTGTGGTATTTACCTAACTCAGTAGTAGTTTTATATTTCTGGTTATTATTTGACATGTGACAAGTTAGAATTTCGTCGGGTATTGCACATTTTTATTGTACTTCAGCAACAGTTTTGGGAAACTTGATACATGCTGACTTCAGTTTTAGCATAAAGTAGAGCACCTTATTAGTTATAATCATTACTGTTGTTGGAGACACATTAAATCTAGTTCCTACGCTCAACAAAGTATCACATATAGCCATATACCACAAGAATATTAAAATATGGCCATATAACCTCACTGGATGATGTCCACCTGTATACGGTTTTGTTAATATCTTTTTTTCATCGCTTTTTCATCATTTCTGCTAAATCAATAAAAATTTTCTTTGACATGCGGAAAAGTTTTGAGACTTGAAAGTTATCATAGCTACAAAGCCATGGTTCCATCGGTAAGCATTTTTTCCGAAAAAAAAAACATTCCTCCCATTAATATTATGAACGGTTTCTTTTTTTCAACTTTCCATACCCCGTTGTAGACGAAAAAGCACCGATTATTAAGCGATAATAAAAATAATCAGAAATTATATCCGCGCTTTTCTAAAATAAACAACTTGAAACAAACCGCGGTTAAAACCAACGCGTTCAAGCGATTCGAGTAACTGACGTCATCATCCCGTGTGTCATCTTGAACCATATTATAACCGCGGTACATAATACGGAAATTTTGGTTATATATATATATTTGATTATAGTTTCGTTCAGATTACACGTGTCTAACGACCCCCATTCTCAACCCCCCACCCTTTTCAAGGGATTGCTTATTATCATATAATATTATTATGCCTAACCTCCCTCACCTTCGCTATTCAGTTAACAGGCAGGCTACTACCCCTCCCCCCTCCCACCTTTCACAAATTCATACCAAATACCAATCTCTAGCCTGGCGTTTTATGATTGACTCCTAGTTATTTCACAGTTGTCGATTTTCCCATCAAAACTTTGCGACCAACATGACTGAAAACCTGGCAACCCTGGCCTCCTGCCCTGCCTCGAAAAATATATTGTTTACATTTGTTCTGTATTTGTTTGAAACGTGCTCTAGGTACTTTTTTAATTTATTTTGAATGTCAATACTTGTGATTCTTGTGGTCAAAACCATAGTGAAACCTTGTTATATTCCGGTATCTATAGAAACAGTTCTTCATTGAGCAGCGAAAAAGAAAGAAGTTTAATCAACGCACAAGAATACAATTGCCTTAACTTCCTCTAGATTATTTTTGAAAGTTGAACATGACCTCGGACTGGTACAACAGACTCCGAAATGCGAAAAAGTCATGTATGGTAGACAGAAATCTGAAGAAAATACACTATGCTTTCGAAAATGGTCAAGAAATGGTTGAGGAGTACAATCTGGATACAAATGTGGTAACACGAAGAGCCTGGAAACATAAGGGGGAACTGGAATGCCAAGGTGAGTAGTGAAATTCAAGTTAGATTTATCCTGTAATCTTGGCAGTAGTAACATACCTAACAAGCTGAGGGTCTGGCTGCAAAGGAATCAGTAGGTACCTGCTATATAGCAAGATTCTGAATTAGTCTCATGTTTTTGAGATTATCTGTATTCAATTTGTGTGTGGTAAAACTGGCTTGCGTTCAGCTAATCCCCTGCCATTTCCACAAATAGTAACCTTTTTGGACCAGGTATGTTTTAAATCACTCAGAATTAAGCATTTCATCCCATGCAGTATATTTTATCTTAAAATATGGATAAACTTGCATAAAACTCATGGCAATGTCAAAATTGTAATGTAATTCTGTTTTCATGTCTAACTTTGACTCCATGTAGTACTATTCGTAATTTGTTTGTCTGGGTGGTCCATAGGACTTTTACCGATTTATCACTGTCTAATACAGACCTCTTCAACTCGGGTGACACCAGTGCAGCGCCGAGCACCGCTCGCAGGACAGTGCTGCAGGGTGACTCCGTGAAGGTGGGGGAGGGATTAGGCAGCGGCATACACATCGCGAGGAATGTGTTGTGCTAACCATAGCACCCTGCGAATAGAAATCACCATCTGCTTATTTTTATTATCACTTAATAATCGGTGCTGTTTCGTCTACAACGGGGTATGGAAAGTTGAAAAAAAGAAACCTTCCATAATATTAATGGGAGAAACGTTTTTTTTTTCAGAAAATAATTTTTAATGATTGAACCATGGCTTTGTAGCTATGATAACTTTCAATTCTCTTAACTTTTCCGCATGTCAAAGAAAACATTTATTGATTTAGCAGAAATGATAGGAAAAAGCGATGGAAAAAGATATTAGCAAAACCGTATACAGGTGGACGTTATCCAGTGAGTGTATATGGCCGTATATTTTAATATTCTTGTGGTATATGGCTATACAGGATACTTTGTTAAGCATAGGAACTAGATTTAAAGTGTCCACAACAACAGTAATGATTATAACTAATAAGGTGGTTTCTTATGCTAAAACTGAAGTCAGCCAATATCAAGTTTCCCAAAAATGAAGAAGTACAATAAAAATATCCAATACCCGGCAAAATTCTAACTTGTCACATGTCAAATAATAACCAGAAATATAAAACTACTCCTGAGTTGGGTAAATACCACAATTTTGCGGTGATGAACTATGACATATAACAGCTGATTCATGACGTCACGGATCTTATAACCAAACTGATAACAACACTCGCTTGAACGTATCGGTAAATACCAATCCAAAATGGTAAATACCATTTTCATTTGGTTATCCACTTGAATTTGATTATTTATTCTTAAGATCTTTGACAGCATTTCAATTGAACAAGTTTTCTAAGATTTGGTACAGTGGCTTGAGCAGTGGAAATTCTGAGTATCGCCTCTAAGGACACATCAGACAAAGAACTGTTTTTAGTTTTGTTCAATTTCATTAAAGAAAACATCTGCTCGCAGAAGTACGTTATACCGAACATGGAGCAAGTTTCCAAGGCCGGTGCAAGAATTTTCGGAAAATCTTGCTGCTTAACACCTTGATAAAACGAAATTAAATTACTATTGTATTGGTAGTATCTAACCTTAAGGATCGTAGCGCATTGAAGCTTAATCAGCTCCATTTGGAAATGCGGCGGTTCTATTTCGAAAAGCACTGAAGATGGCGTCGTAAAAATCTCATTTGCATAAACATCTCAACGTCCTCAATGATTAAAAAAAAAATTCTTTAGCACTTTTGCGCAGCTTTACCAGCATGTAACACAATAAAAGCGTATGTCACTGTAAGTTGCTTCCAGGTCTTTTAAAAATACTCCAAACTGCCGTGGTTGAGACCTTGCTTTCTGCAAAAATTGACACATGTTATTACTACATCCATAATAGATTTGAAATTACGGGAGGTTTTTGCACGTAGTTGTTCCTGATGTAATATGCAGTTTACCGATGATATCAGAGGTAGCCCAGCGTCGCGTACTTATATATATATATATATATATTTTTTCATTCCCAGTAAAACCTTGTGCTTCCGATAACATTGCCGCCAGAAGTAACAACACTACGCAAACTTTTGAGTAGTATACCCATGTTATTCATCGTGTATTCTACAGCATCAAAAATATCTTCTCTGACCATTGTATCTTTAAGCGGGATAACGTCTAGTAGTTTGTCGGTGATAGTAAAGACTATTTCGACACCTCTAACGAAAACAGCTAATTATGCTGTGTCAGAAGTGTCTTTAATTCCATAGAATACTGCACAAAATGGGAACATTTTCCCGCAGTTATTCTTTTAAATCTGCACCAAGTTCAAGTATCGGACGAGAAATTGTTTGCTCGGACATACTAATTGTCTCAAAGTTGCTTACAGGGGATGGGCACAATATTTCTGCACACTCCACTAAGCATTCTTTGACAAGTGCATTACGATACCATGGATAATAATCAACTACGACCAAATTAATAATTACCTCTTCAGAACTTAGAAGGGCCGGCCTCAATACCGTGTGACAAATTAAACATTTTGCTTTTCTATCAGTATTTACAAAAAATAGGCTTCTTCCATGCAGGATTGAATGACATCGTTTAAAAAAAGATGCACGTTAAGACGCTAAAAAACCTGTCCAATTTGTCTTGTCCTATTAAGAAATGGCCCGCGCCCAAGAGACAGTCGGCTTTTGGGGTTTGTCTCTGTAGCGACGGCTGTGCGGTCGAGGTGGAGGGGGAACGGCACCGGTGCCGCTGGGTTCAGCACTGGAGCGCACCAGCACCAAGTGCTCAAGTTGGAGAGGCCTGGTCTAATATACATTAGTCAAATCTGTCAGGCATAGTTGCCCAGAAACCAGACAATATCAAGGAAAAAGAGAAACGGAAAGATAAGAAAAAAGGGAAAGAGCAAAGAAAAACAGAAAAGTATTAGTTTAAGAGACACCATGTAGTGCGAGAGAATCAAATGTATGATCACTACTAATAACTTGAAAAAGTTTATTGGTTGTTATAGAATTTTTAAATGGTATTTTATGTGCATTCTGCTATTACTTCCTTGCAATTGCAGTTATAATGGGTTAGTTTCTGCACAATAATTATAAAAAATCGCATTTTATGGCGTGCAGACAGAAAAAGTTCAGGGATGATGTTAAAGTGTAATTTGTATCAAAATTTATTAATGTAATGGGTACCTTTTTGGAACCCAATTTTCTTACTGTGGTCAGCTCGGCTTGGAATACAAATTCTCTAAAGCAACCCTAACAAAATATTTAGTGGAATTAAGTCAATACTGAAGCTATATATATTTTATTTCATTTTATACAGACTAGTGATACACTACATTTCAACTTTCGAACTGTTTCATTCAATGATGTTCGAGACGCAATCAAAAGCTTAAAGAATTCTAAAAGTAAAGATCCATATGACATCGATGTTAAAATTATGAAGACCTTAAATAACTTGTTAGTATATCCTATAACAAAATTGATAAACATGTGTATAGAAAATAATGTCTTTCCTGCCTTATTAAAACTTGCAAAGGTTCTGCCACTCTTCAAGAAAGGCTGTGAGAATGATCCATGTAATTTCAGACCCATCTCTATTATACCAATTATAGCAAAAATTTTCGAAATTCTTCTGAAGAATCAGATATGTGAATACTTCAAAGGTAACAATTTATTCTGTAACAACCAGTTTGGATACCGTACCAACAGATCAGCGAAAGCAGCAATAAACGATTTTATCAGTTTCATCAACAAATGTCTGGAAGATAACATGTTTGCTCTCGCTAACTTCTATGATCTTACAAAAGCATTTGATTGTGTCCAACATCACATTTTGATTCAAAAGTTGTCGCTGTATGGTTTTAGTAATAATAGCCTGTCCTTAATTGCGTCTTATTTATCAGATAGAAGACAGTATGTTAGTTTTCAAAATTGTTTATCCAACAATGTACATATTAAGCACGGAGTTCCCCAAGGAAGTGTCTTGGGACCGATTCTTTTTTTGATCTACATCAATGATCTGCCAAACTGTAGCATCAATCAGTATATATTATTTGCGGATGACACGACATCAATATCCTCCAATAGTAATTTTGACCATGTATTGCTCGATTCTCAGCAGCATTTTGACAACATTCAAAACTGGTTTAATGCCAACAGTTTGTCAATCAACATAGCGAAAACTCAATCTCTTCTACTCAGTACTCGTCCACATAGAAGTAATTTAGTAGAGCCCGTGAAATTTCTTGGAGTGATTATTGATGCAAGCTTAACTTGGGAATCACACATCACCTCTTTATCAAAGAAGTTATCTAAAATAACATATATGATACGTAGTTTAAATACCTACGTAACAAAATCGACTTTAATGACAGCCTATTATGCTTACTTCCAATCTAACCTGCAATACTGTATACTGATTTGGGGACATTCATGTCATGTATCGAAGGTGTTTGCTGTTCAGAGACGATGCTTGAGAATAATAGCAAACTTATATTTCAGACAGTGTTGCAAGACGACATTTATCGACCTAAAAATTTTAACTGTGCCATGCATATATATACTGGAATGTCTCATCCACGTTAAAAATAGTTATGAGATTAAACGAACTTACCTAAGTGAAGTTTGATCGTAATTATATGACCGTCTCTTCCGAATAGATCACTATGTAGTTCACTCTCGCCGCTAGGTGGCGCCACGCATTCCAAAGCTAAATAAAATAACATCTGACCGGTCCTACCCTCGCGTACCACCGAACGCCGTTGATGATTCATTATTTCAAGCAGTAACTGTTGCGTTAGAATAGATCACGGGTTCTGGGAGGGAGGGAGTGATCTATTCGGAAGAGACGGTCATATAATTACGATCAAACTTCACTTAGGTAAGTTCGTTTAATCTTATAATTATATTACCCGTCTCTTCCTCTAGATCACTATGTAGATGTTTAAAGTTGATTCTGCAACAGTTACAGGAGAATAAACGAAAGAGGGAA